ACTGGCGGAACCGCTGGTGGTAGTGCCGCATTGAGTAGTGCAGAAGTATACGATCCATCCACAGGACTCTGGACAGTTACTGGCACTATGAGCATTGCACGATTTTATCACACAGTATCCATACTGGCAAATGGAAATGTCTTTGTTGTTGGTGGAAGCCCTGATTTTATAAGCGCATTAAATAGTGCAGAAGTATATGGATGATGATGTGTTATAGATTACTCTAATAGTATTATTACTATTATTTTTTTCTCTCCTTTCTTTTATGTGTCATTGATTGTCACTTTTGTCTGCTTTTCTTTCTTCCTCATCATTGACATGTGCATCGATTGTTCTCTTACGTACGATTCTCTCTACTTTTCTTCCTCAATAGCGTCTAAGGCTTCTTGTTTCGAGATTTATTCAGATTTTTTAAATAAATACTAACACTTATTTATTCTATGGGAATTATTACATTCTATCGGCGAATTTCTGAATTCATTAGGATTTATGTTTTTTTCGAGAATACAAGAGAGAACTTATCAAGAATTTGTCATCAATTTCAGAATTTGATTTCATCTGGTATAGATTCTCTTTTCATTGATTTATCACTATAAAAAATTCTCTTGTCTTTGATAATGAATATCGTTTACTATTCTTAACACCAATATGCTCTAAATTATTTGTGTTTTGTTTGATTATATTATCTTTGCATAAATGTAAAGAGAAATTAAATTTTTATCAACACAAAACTATGAGATTCAACAAATCTTATCAAATGTTAACAATCATTCATAATCTTAAGTAGTCACAGATCATAAAATTTTTGTAGAAATTATCTTGATAATTTATTCTTCCGTTTTATATCATTGAGACACGGTGGCAGTAATAAATTTTCAACTTTGATATAGATCTCGGAAAGATTTTATCCTTCATCACAATAAAAATATCAGTTAATTTGATGATTTTCTTAGCAATGAGTAAAAATATTTATTATTTTAAGTAGATTTACGATCTTCACAATTTCTCTTAGATTAAAACAAATCCGTCAGACGATTTAATCGAGATAAATTTTTATTTAATAATCTCAATTTAATTTTACAATAAATATTGGTTTTATTTTTCAATAGTTTTCTTTTATAAAATTAACATTTGAATAAAAACAATTCTGTCCACAAAATTAATAAAAATCGATATTTTCATACGAATGATTAATATATCTCTTTGATTACTAATGTCAAAAAAGAATTTCAAGTTTTTCGTATTAAAAATTGAATTTCTCAATAAAACTGGTGATGTTACTAGAAGAAATTGAATTATTTTAGAGAATTCATATTCAAACTGGACAAATAGAAAACCTACAAACAATAAATATTTATTATATTGAAATTTTAACTTTAAACTCAAATCTGTGCCATTATTTTAATTCCATAAAGAATTATTCAAATTATCAACAGTGACAAAGAAGATGTGAATCTTTACCATAAATAATGTTAAATCTGAGAATATTAGGATGTGGGTGTGGGCGTGAGTTCATCATATATTAAACTACATACACACCCACACCCGCACTTACACTCACGCCGACGCCTACACTTGGTCTCAGTCGCTAAGAGTTTGTTTTTTCTTTTAAGCCAAACTTCAATGTTCCTCACGTTTTCTCGGAATAACAAAAACGAAACATGAAACCTAAAGGCTTAGCATATCGAAACAAAATCGAATAATATGCGTTAGAAATCCTTCTGCAAACATACACTAAGACTGCTTTATTAAAAAGTATTTAAGAACAATTATCAGTATTAATTCTACACTCTCAAAAATGTATCTTTTTCTCACACGCTTTACTTTGTATTTTATCGCTACTTGGCATGGTGCCGCAGCACTCAACGTCAAAGAGAGTATCGGAGATACTTGGCTTGATTACTATGGCTGCGCAACTGATCATGGAAACCTGTGGATGGCAATCAACGAATTCAAGCAGACCACGCAAGCAGAGCTTGATCAACAGAAAGAAACTTCGCAGATGCTGACAACAAAGCTGAATGCACTGGAGGAGAAAAATAGTCAACTCCAGACAGAGATTCTCACGAGGCAACCTAAGCTCTGTCAAGGTCGAACTAATTACACGCAGTGGAAACCCTATAATGAGAATCTTTATGGTATCATCGTTCACGTTGATACGTCTCACTGTCAGTTTCAGACTGTGCCTGCCTACTTTACAAGCCTCGGTGGTGCGATGCATCACTGGATAGTCACTGGAATGACATCAATCTATGCAGAGAGCAAGTCCGGCTTCAAAATTTACCTTTGGACAAGAGGGAGTGGCACACCCGAACCGAAAGAGCAAACTATGGCGTTGATCGCAGAGCGAAAGTGGGAGTTAAACTGGGTTGGAATAGAGAAAAACTAAAGGAAAAGATCTCACACAGGTTTCAAAACTATGCGACCCCTTGCTCATTTTTTACATCTTATGTGCGGAAAATTAAAGGAATAAAACTTTACATCTCAAAGAAGACTTAAATATTAGTTCGTTGTAGTAATGCGTACAGGTAGATTGAATAATCTGATGAAATGCATTGAGATCATGACACTTCTCAGATTATTGCCAGTTGCCACCAGATCTGTAATTGATGGTATCTAGTATCTAGTGAGGATACTAGCTGTCTACTTCTGTATATAAATTAGATGTGTTGGATGTTAATGTGAATATATACATAGAAAAATTTTTATCTTTTATCTATTCATCCACACTCCCACCCTCAATTATAATGGTAAAAGTCTTTGCTTTTTTAAAATTAAAAACAAACGAAACGACTATCTAGCTTAAAATATTTAAATCTATAACATATCATAAAGATATAGAATATAAATAAAATATTCTTGTCGACTCAAAACTGATTGATCGTGTTGTGTATTATTCTGTTTCGATTTTCTCTATCGGTGCCCGTTTATAGAATAAGAAACACAAATGCTTTGACCTTTAGTGCGCCACGTAATCAAGTTTTTTGCATCATTCGGATTTTCTCTCATGGTAATAATCTTATCATATTACATGGAGGACGGAAGAAGAAAAGATCAAAGTACACTAATAAATCATATATATATATATATATATATGAATGTATTAATTCTTATCATAATAATAACGATGCGCACCGATTCAGAAGCAAACACTGTATATACTCTTTTTCATCAAAGGTAAGTGGATGAAAAAAGAAAGATTTCGAAGTATATGCTGCTAATTACCTTTTGAATACAATTATTTCGTTTGTTATGATTGTAGCCAATCATCAAAATCGAATAAAGATCGTTCATCACGATTATCTGGCATTATTATCATTCTTTTACTAATTTCTATCATCATATTGCTCATATTTTATGCTATCGAACGGAATAAGTCAAAAGATCAACAAAATATAATAACAGGTATGTATGAAGATCACATCATTGTATTATATCATATCTAACTGAATAATAAATTTAGCTAAAGATACCAATGATGTATGTTTAAGTCCATATTGTATTAAAGCAGGTAAATATATTTTGTCATATTATTGAAAACTATTCGATCATTTTAGCAAACTATCTTCTCGAAAGTATTGATGAAACAATCGATCCATGTGAAGACTTTTATCAGTTCGCTTGTGGTACATGGCTTAAAAACACACGAATACCTCCTGAAAGTAAGCTTCAAATAATTGAATGGTTATTATATTTTCTCATTTTTCAGATGGTAAACATCGTTCAATATCAAGACTGACGATACGATTAGAAAATGCGCTTGTTGGTACGACGGTTTATTCTTATCCTATATACATTCTCTCGTTTTTCTTTTTGTGAAGATTTATTTTCATCATCACCACCACCACCACTAAATGATATAGTAGAGTCAAAAGCAATTATCAATGCTCGTCGTTTGTATGCTTCTTGTATGGACGAGAATGCTATTGAAACAGAAGATATCGATGTAATACTCTCATTAGTCAAGACAGAGTTTGGTGGATGGCCTGTCTTAGAAGGTTTAACATGGAACGAATCAACATTTGATTTGTCTCGTTTGACACTTAAATTAAACCAATACAATAATTTTATATTATACACAATCAAGTCAGTCGCTGACGATAAGAATTCATCGGTTCGAAGTATTCGAGTAACATTCACTAGTTAGATAACTTTTGGGTAATCTATATATATATATTCAACTTTCAGATCGATTTCAGTAATCTTCGAGAAAATCTGATGCATTTTACGAAAGGAATAAAAGTTTTTATAGCTTATTACGGGTACTTTCATAACTTGACTCGAGCATTGACCAATGACACGTCAACAATCGATGATGATGTTCTTGCTTTACAAAATTTTGAATTAGAAATCATACAAGTAAGTTTCGTTACTTCTCAATATTTTCTAATTTAACTTCTTTTACATAGAAACTGATGAAACATGACAAACTATCTTTTCAAGATATTGTTCGTACAACAGTTGGTAATCTTTCACGTATAGTGAACGTTAGTATAAATATTAACTTTATCAGATACTCTACAATTTTCTTTTGTATAATTTAATTCAGTCTGATTTTACTAATCAACTTCGTCGTTTATATCTATTTGGAAATGTATCTCTTATTGATACAGACATTGTTACTGTGTATGCACCTAAATTTTTGCTTGATATTATATCAATTATTGATCAACAATCACCACGTACTATACAGAACTACATGATATGGCGTTTCATGATGAGCCGAGCTTTGAATATGCCAAAACGATTTCGAAACATCGTACAACAATATAACTATGTGTTTTATG